AAGTGGGTCCAGTTCCGTTTGGTTAGGTTAGGTTAACCACAAAAAGTTGGTCCGAGTAGATACTCATAATTATACAGATAAAATATGTAATGGTGTAGTTACTGGGGCGAGCCCGTTTTCGACTAAAATCGTACCCTTCCCTTTTCGGCCGATTCACTTTTCGACCAAAAAAAAAAAAAATTATATAATAAATTTAAAATAATAAAATAATGATATACAATGTTTGATTATGATGGAAACTACTATAATATATTAATGACGATTCAAGGTTTTACTATCGTAGCGAGGTTTTAGGTTCACATACAGAGCATAATCCCATTTGTAATAGTATCAAGGTTTTTACAAAAACTAGGTTAGGCTCAGACTATAATTTCCCTTGGGGCAAAGCCCTAACATTTTTAAAATTAAAGTTCCGATTTTTCGAAAAAAAATAATGTAAATAATTTTCATTACGATAAGAGATCAAAACTAGATACAAGATATCTTTCTCTTTTATATTAATAGTTTAATATTTATTGAAAAAAATTGTAAATCATTATTTTATTATTTTAAATGTATTATATAAATTTTTGTTTTGGTCGAAAAGGGAAGGGTACGTTTTTGGTCGAAAACGGCCATGCCCAGTTACTGATATAGTCTTAACACGCAAGTGTGATCATATTATACTTGCTTATTTAAAATAAAAATTATTTTTGCGGAAATATTTGAATGGACTTACATGTTTTCGGTGATTAAATTGAATTAGTTTGTTTGTTAATTTCCCCGGAACTGTCCGTAGTAAAAATGCCCGGTAATATTGAAAAACAGAATAACAAATAATCTGTCACGGGAGATCACTGCCATTACCGTGTTCGCGCGTTGATGTGTGACCACGGGTTGACAGCTTCAAAGTGTGACCTTCCGCGTGGACATCCGTATCAAAGGGTTCATCAGACTCAGGTGTGCGATGTCAAGGCTCTCTTCATGTTGTTTGAAAATAGTAATATAATAATCATAGGACCTGTACAGTTGTTATTGTGGTATCTACACGGTACGCGTGTAAACATAAGAATGCGATTCAGTAATGGGGTGGCGACGTCGCATAAGATCGATGGTTTGAACGGAGAAGGGTGCTATGAGTACGGTACTTTCAGCGACGGAATTCCTGCTATGCCAAAAAGGCAGCTGGACAAGACCTCAACGATGGGGGGTCTTCGCAAATAATGACCCTAAATATCTCCATAAACATTCCGAAAAAAAGAAAAAGTAATATAAACAAATTAAATTCTACAAATTAACCGTAAAATAAATGTGATTCTCATAATGTCGGAGAAAACATGATAACAATTTTTTTTTCCTGAGTCACTGAATAGAATGTAAATATAGCGGTTGCAGTGGACTATAATACCTATAATTTTTGCACAATAGAAAGCTCGTCGTGTGGTTGATTTAAGTTAACACTTAATAATAATGTAATATACGCAATTATTATAACTTTTTTTTAGGTACATTTATTGTTAGTAGAAAAAAAAATAGATGGTTTTTTTTATTTATCTTTTATTCATTTTTTTTTTTTTTGTAAAATAACAAAGAAGGGCTCTACTTCGGTAACCACTTTGAGGTCCTGATTGCATTTTAAAAACTTGCTGTTTACACATTACAGATTAAAAAAAAGTATCGAAATTTACATTATGTAGTTCGAATTAATACATTTCATATAACTTTCTTACGCATCATTGGGACGGTGTTAGTCGACGATGATTAATATTTGTTTAGGTTTTTAAACATTCGTTCACGATTCAAAAGATTCATGAGATTAGAAGCGCCAAGAGCAAATACAACACGTTTATAATCATAATAGTACGTTTCGTGTTTCTCTTGACGGCTTTTGGGGTAGATCAAGCAAAACGATAAGCGAAATTTTTCACCGTCGGTTGGAAATTCACGTGATATATACGACTCGTTGGTCCCCTCGGTGCGTTTTCTAACCCTCGAAAGCAATGCCTACGGTTTACCATCACGCGTTTTGAGTTCTCGACATTTGGGTCGTTCGAGAGTACAGCGGACGACGACAACGACGATGAAGAAATCAGCGCGATTTGAATACGATCCTCAATAAGACTGACACAGTGATGGGAGAACAGCTGCTATGGACTACGTAGGCATATAAATAGACGGGCAGGTATAAGATGGTGTAAGGATACTTTATATTATTTAAGTGTATTATTTTGTTTTGGGATAGAAAACATTGCGCTTAGGTGACATTTTTTCTGGGATCCGTAGTAATGCACGGCGCGTGTATAATCAACGACAGCGAACGAAGACTTACAAGTTCAAACCTTCATCGGATCTAAAAGTGATTTTTGTCCCTATGCCTAATGGATTACGATTTTAATAACGAATACATTTTGTTTTTTTTTTCTCGATGCTCAACGGTGAAACGCGTTTCGTTCTCAGGCAATAAAGTTAATTCTTTAATGTATTTTTTTCCTCGAAAAAATCTCGTAGATAATAAATATATTATAAAATTTAAAAGAGTACGCCGTCACCAGTGAGAAAGAAAAAAAAAATAAAATGTAAAAAACTATATTATTATTATACACATATATTATACATTATTGTAAATACCTTATTCGAATTCACGTCTTCAATATTAAGGATTTCATAACTATCTGCTGCTCATAAATTGATTTTCAATTAAAACTAAATTTAAATATAAGTTTTCGTACGCAGTGCGTATAATACATAAGTATTATAATAAATACATGTAAACGCGTTACATAGAATTTAATGTGAGCCGTGTTTTCACAAATGTTCACTGAACGTGTTTTATTTGACTTTATTGTCTAAACAAACTGTAATTGCGTTTTATAATTAATGTATTTACGCACATTTACGCATACAGACATACACTTTCATATACTTAGATATTATATAAATATACACATACTGTAGTATAATTGTATAGCCATTACAAATTATCAAGTAGATAAATTTATGCTTGATTTAATAACTTTTTGTGATTATAATTAAAATATGACAAAAATGTTAGATTTTTGTTAACATAATGAAGTTTTAGTACGCTGTAGAAGTTTTTAATTTTAGATAAATCATGGTCAGAGAAGGGTTTAAAGGTAAAACTTTGATTAACGATGACTGCTATCACGTAAACTTTCAATAATATTTCTGTATATACATAATACTAATTTAAGAGAAAGTAACATAATTTAATTAATCTAATGAATCGCACTCATAAATATATTTAAAGGAATTTTTGTTCGAGTTAAGGGGATTTCAATTTATGTTTTATATAATTATTTATTGTTATACAATTATAAAATATGAAATGTACAAATAGGCATTTTATAATTTGTGTATAGTGTACTTGTAATAATGTATTTAAATTATAATATTGTAATTCGTATCGTACTAAATGTATTAGAATGGATCAAAAAAAACCTAGAGTAAAAAAAATGTATTTTTCATATACAAAAAGGAAATTGAGTTAATTTTTAATAACCTTCATATTGTAATAAATATCAATTTTTTTGTAATCATAATTTCAATTGGTTTAAATGTTTTATAATAACAAATATAATATTATGTATACTTGTAACGTTTAAAATAAATAATATCCGTGAAAATAATTGACGTAATAGGCGGTAGAAATAAATTAAATTGACGTTATTGATAATGTACCGAGAAAATTCCACTTCGTTTCGATTAAAAAACAAAAAACAAATAAAAAAAAAGTTTGCTCGTGTTATTTAAGACAAGACCCAAAGATGATTCTGAGAATAAACTCGGTACGATAATATCGTTTCAAGCATCTGATTTGTGAACAAAATAAAAATAAAACTAGCTTTTAATTAAATTGTGACAGCTCTTGTGTGAAACGTATCACAATTTTGTTTAAAATAAATCATTTATACACAAAAATACAGTACAATATGAGATTTAAGTTCAAATATAAATACCCCTATACAATGGACGATTTTCAAACTGTGTGTCCTGGACAGACTTTTAGTGGTTCCTGAGAAGTTATTTATTTTTAAACTAAACAAACTGTAAAATACCGAAAACCGTCGTAATATTTTGTTACCATACGTTTTCGTCCCGTAAAGCCATAGGAGCCTCGATAGACATTCGATGAAAAATTCTAATTGGGGTGCTCAAAACCTTGAGTAGTATCAGTATAATGAACATAAATATAGCATATGGAATTACATCGTGGATTTCTTGTAAAACCGAATATGAATAAAGGAAAAATAAAATGATGGATCTTAATTAATATTTGATGACTGTAGGTTTTACTATAATTTTTATAAGTTTTTCTAACCGTTTCACTTTTACGCAAATCAATAATAGTTTTCAGTTAGTTTTCTTGAAATGGTAGACCAAACATGGTACCGTTACTCACTCACTATCTTAATATTTTTACTAAAAGATATATTTGAGTAGTAAATCAATCAGTGTATGATTATTATTATTAATAGTTGGTATTTTATTTATTTTATCAGGGTCAAAAATTCCAAAATTTTAAAAACAATTTTCAATAACAAAATTTCATAACTTTTATAATTTAAAAATATCTATCGTTTTATACGAGGTAATGAAATTTCCTACCTTTCCAACGAAGAGACGAATTTGATAAAATATTTTATATACGTACTATCTCCGTTAGTACAAAATGGCCAACACGAATAATATAATGTTAATGCTGAGCGTTTGATGATAATACACATAACGTAATTGAAAATACTTTGTGTCGGTGGATATATATATATCATGATTCAATTATCGTTCAGTTTTTGGAAAAACAAACGAGAAAAATAGGCGAAATACGATTGCGGCGGTAAAAGAGCTTCACGCTGGAACGTTATGAAAACGCATAGAAATCAACGCGCGTTCCGCTCTGTCGTACAGCATCTTACACCGATGCAGTGACACGGGATGCATTGTTAACTAAGGCCTTATAATAAACGCATGCGAAAAGTTATCGAAACCGATATAGTACTTACTATGATAATTAGCACCATGTTCGTGCGGCCGGGTTACATGTTGGGCGAGTTAGATCCGTTCGGGCAGCGGTGTGCGTGTGCGCGTGCGGTTTGCGACCGGACGGGTTGGCTGCGCGGAACGGACTGGATGACGCGAGATTTATCAATATCGATCGATCGATCGATCTGTTTTAGGCGGATAATTGGTACTACTACCACTACTACTGTTGTAACCGTTACTTCTACTGCCGTTGTTACTACTGCGAACGATATCCGTCGAACATATTACCCACTGCTACGCAGGGGCGGGTTTTATCGCTCATCAAGGGAGGGGCTAACGGAGGTTCAAGAATTTAGTTAGTTGTTTTTTAAATCTGTATAAAATTTTAAATTACACAGTATGTTTTTGAGTCCCTCGTAAGAAAGTCATTTTTCTCCCAGTAGTGACACATTTTAAATAGTTACGTTATTGGTATCGATTTTAATCAGAAACCATTTTAAAAACATAGGTATACACATATAATTAACAATAAAAATAAGCTATTTATTTATAAAAATGTATGTAAAATAGGTATCATATTCATCAATGGCAATTGACGATAAATATTTTATAATAATTATTAATGTATCATAATATTTGGCTTTGTAAAATAGTTACCTTAGTGGGAGGGGATAATGCCCCTTAGCCACCCCTTTAAACCTGCCCCTGCTGCTACGGCAACGACTCGGCATTTTTACCACCGGGATGTCGGTAAGGAAACAACAGTTGTTACCGGGACGATTCGGACGTTTCAATAACCGAACCGAACCCAATGTCACACTATAACTTTAGGTTCCGGAGCCTGAGGACGGGACTCAAGCTTTGGTTCTAACCGTACTAACTCGTAGCCACCGCAAAATGCTTGCTATTTTTCGCGAAACGTCGAGCGTTCATCGACTGCAGCTTAAACTAAAGAATGTTCTCGGTTAGTACATGGCATCGGTATAATGTTAGGGTAAGAACTCGAAGCAAGGTCGTATTTTTTGTTCACAAAGGCACAGTTATCACACGGAAATCCATTTAGTTTCATCAATCCGACCCGATCAAATGTAAATATATATTTTATTCTCTTTTTCGTCTATATAGATATACAGAACTTATAAGGTTTTAAAATTCATTAACCACTAACTGCACAAATTGTGGGCGACCTTCCCGTGGAAACTATGTAATACATAATGTAATCATTTCGGGTGCCATTTATTTAGTGTTTTGTGCTCAATTGTAGCATCTTCCCGAGGGATCAGATTTCGAAAATAATGATACGGGTAAAACGTTTCCGACCGAAACCTGGACTCCCGAAATCGCAACAGTCGGAGTTAAGACTGCAGCTCGCGTTTAGAAATATTAAAAAAAAAAAAGTTTAAAACCGTTATCTCTGTAACCTCTTCGTCAGTCGGTATTCTACGAGAATAACATTTGATTTATTTTTATTTTTATACCGCGCTGTCAAAAGTATTTTTCTTTTAGAATGTCACGGAAAGCTCTTAATCTAACCACTTATAAACGGTGATGAAACGTACAGCGTGCCATGAGCTGCAGCAGCACGCTAGACGTAGACAAAGACCAGCCGAAATGACCAGACGAGATCTTAACATAATTGAAATCACGAGATAAAATTCGATAGAGCTAGAGCGGTCCCCCTTTTCGGTGGTTATCGTCCCCAGGTCTGTGGTCGTACGTGAGTCGTCACATTAATAATAGGTCATGCAACACCGCACATACTATTATTAATATTATTATTATCATTATCGATGTGCGTGTGTATAGTGGTCAGGAACGGTCGCCTGAAAGAAACCCGGGATCGTATATGTGTTATGTGCATCATGTATGTACGGTGTCTGACGGTCGGCGCGGTCACCAGCGTTGTTTTCGACGTGAGGATATTGTATGATTTTTTTTTTTTTTATCGGTTTTACGAAAAAAAAGCCCTTGAATTCGGTCGACCAAGGAAAAAAATAAATGAAAAACGGTCCTGCGCACTAACGATGATATATAATGTTGTATATTGTTATTAGGTTTACGAAAACGTAATCGCCCACAACTCATTGCTGTACTATTATACGTGCCCGCGGCCGTCTGATTCGATTACGCCGTGCGCAATGCGTGCACGCGGCTCGCTGATTCAACGTTTTTATAACTTCGCGTGCTTCAAATGTTTATATATTTTCTCTCTCCACTCGTAAACATACGTCCACTACAATGATAATAACCGACGACGATTACGAGCTGTATGGTGTCGTATGAAAATTGTAGAGCGCATTCGGAAATGCTAAGGGATTGTTCTACAAATTATTATGCGGTTAAGGTAAATACACGTTTAATCGATCTGTATCTAAAATACTTGAGACGTTAGCGAAACAATTTCATTATAATCGCTTAGTTGTTTAACATTTTTATTTATTAAAAATTAGAATCTGTGACATTTTAACAGTGAAAAGTTTTTAAAATGAAGACGTGAAAAAGAAGAGGTTCGTTGACTTCACCCAGGTAGTTTTTATTTATTTATTAATTTTTTGTATCCTTGACGATAATTTTTAAGTTATTTTATTTTACCCGCAGTGTTATTATACCGCACTACCTAGTAAGTTTCTATAAGTCTCTATTTAGACGAAATGTAGATTTATCAGGTATTTTTATGGCATATTTGTTGTATTTGCGATTTAGGATGGTAGTTTAGTTTATCATGTAATTTTTTTTCTAGTGATTCTTTGTTAACTCTCTCGCAGTTGGTAAATTAATGTTTGATTTGTTACAATCCAAGGTGCGTTTGTGATATGTCTCAAAGCTATTATACATTTTTTCAACTTTTATGTTGAATCGAACAAAACATAATATTTATAATGTTATGTAGACTCATACCTTGCGAGTACATTCTAAATTTACCAGTTTCAATAATAAAACGTTATCAAACAATAATATTTTATATCATACCATGTTCTATTCCGATATTGTAATATCGTCGTTAAATATATAATTTAAGTACGCCGTATATTTGGTAGGTAAATGTTTACCTAACTAGTAGCTACTGCAAGTGTTTAAACTGAGTGCCAAATTGTCAGGCCGAATAATTTGATGAATGATTTTAAAAATTCTTTACATCAAGTTATGTACGCTCTCCGTTCACGTCAAAAATAATCGTACTTCGGAAATTATGATAAACAATACATTTACGTACCATTACAAGTTATTACCATTCATCTGGGAAATACCTTATATGTGTGTTATATAAAGTATAATGAAGTAGTGTACGGGATGTCATCGAGTAAAGTTCCCGCGTGTCACAGGATTCGGATAACAGAAGACGTTTGATTCGTACGTAAATGCTCAATTATAATTATTATTCGTATACGCGCATGTATAGTCTTACAATACATCAACTAATAATCAACACGTGTTTTAAATTTTAAATGTAAACCGACGTTTGGCGAGAGGTAATACGTTAGGTGCTTTTTATTATTTACTAATCATCAATAAGTAGAACATATTAAATTTCATTGGTTAGAACTTCGCCGGTCATATTGCATCCGATCAATATATTTATATGCATATAATGTTATTAGTTTAATCGGATAAAATTATTTTAACAGACTGTATTATAATTTAACAAAACGTTTTTTTTTTTTTTAATTTTAAACTAAACATTAACCGTTTTTATACTGCATCTGAATGATTATTATATGGTCTCGTCATATTTTTAATTTATTTGGAAATCAGATAGTTATTACCATCGCTAACGTCGAGACAACTTGTGAAAGTTAAATTTGATCATACGCACAGGTATCTATGAATGTCTGTGTCGGACTTTTTTAAAAGTTTAACTGATCAACTTTTAACAAATATACATTGCACATAAAAACCTCTCGCGTTTCGTCGAAGCTTCCGCATGACATGTGCTCTCGTGTTGTTTGTTCGAAATTAATTAATATCCAATGTACCTATTGTAGTTTATTTATCGATTTCTATTTAAAACATGAGCAATTTGATAGCGTATATTATTTATACTACTCTAGTCGACTACAAATCAAAACAATTATATTTTATACTTACTCGATACTTACACTCATTGAATTTTTATTTGTTTTATAGTACATGTTGTTAATTTAATTATAAGTTACTTTTGCTTTTCGGGGTATGATATATATAAGTGTAAATTAAAATAAAACAAATAATAATAATTGTTAAAAACGTTCGAATTCAGTTGATCTGGGAAACGATTTTGTAGGAACTCCGACGATGATGCGAACAATTAACACGCGTTTTAATGAAACGTGTACGAAATCGTTTAATTGTTACACTTGGAAAATCATTGCATGCATAACAACTGCAGCCGCAAGACACTGGTTCGCATATTACGTCACGTTACGTGCGATGCATCGACAAACAGTGGAATAATTAAAAATTAATGCATTTTCACTATCCGTCGAATTTATAGTTTAATAATAATAATATAATAGAGTTTAGCTGAATATACCGATTTCGAGTTAGGAAAATCGTAACATTTAACTATAATGTAGTATAAGTAAGTATATAGTAAGTCCTCGTTTAACGTCGAGATTAGACTTCCAGAAAACACACAATAAAAACCGAAAAAACGTTGAGCGAAACATTTTTTACATACACCTTATTGCAACGTGTTCATTCTAACGAATAAAACAAAATGTACGTAAATTATAACTGTACGATTTAATAATTCTTTTTTTTTTTTTGTTTACATTATTATTAAATTATTTTGAAATCGGCGAAAATTCATAATTCGATTTACATCCATAGTTACGGTTAATTTCTTAAGAATTGAGTGTAGTGTTGACTGTTTTGCTGAATTTTTTTCATCATGATACAGTTCTCGGTTGCACGTTAAGCTGTTCAAACCATTTCGCTGGACCCACGAACATCTTTCATGATCCGAATCTTCATCTTTTGTTGTAATCCGAAGGCTTTCTTCGATTAATTGGAAAGCTTTAGGTAACCCTTTTATCCGCGGGTACTTTTTCATTTGGGTTTTCGCTTTCCTCCACTCGAACTTTGTCGTAATGCTATCGTAACGACCGGATTGTGCGGGGGTCGACGGTTTCTCGCCCACCGATCAACGTATTGTTTTCATAGACATCGATGACAGCGCGCATGACTGACGAGCATTTTATTTCCCGTACGTGCTGCGCACCGACTCACTGCCGTATGACCGTTGATATTTTATTTTTTATTTAAAGAGGTTGTAAAATTTTCAATTATTCTACGTGAACAACACGAAGACCATAATAACGGCAACAATGACAATTACGAAGATCAAAATAAGAAAGTAATAAAGATACAAAACGTTTGCAGGAAGCACGGAAAACTGTAAAGCTCATGCTGCCAAACGTTTCGTACCGCGTTATCTTACGAGATCGAGAGAGGAAAAAATGTAGTCGAGATACGTTCTTTTGATCGGTTGAACGCCGCCGATTCGAGAGAGCGGTAACAGGTTACGACCAGCACGTGATCTAGAATGTTTCACGTTATGTTTATTGTAATACATTAAATGTTATCATTAAGTATCACCAATCCGCAAAACAACGGTTGTCGGGAAACATTAGTGGCCGTTTACTGTTTTCCTTTTATTCATACGTTTGGAGCGCATACGAAGAACAAATGGTATTGTTTGGTTTTGAACACGTGAAACGCGTACCCTGCGGTGCCGCCCGGTTAACCGCCATCGCATCTCGCGGCAGATGTCGGGAAAATCAGCGGACCTGCACGTGGACGAATATGGCGCGTCATGTACGCGTTACAGCTGTGTAACGCACAGCGATCGGTAACGGTTTTGCCGGGCGGGTACGGATTTGTTCTAGGCGCGTAACACGCCGTGAAATCGGTTTTTAGAACTGCGAATATCGTTCGTTCGTTCGTTCGTTCGTTCGTTCGTTTTTTTTTTTTTTTTTTGTCGTTCGTTTTTTCCCGCCGCAGTCGTGCCGCCAACGATTTCGACGCGCGTACGTCCTATTGCACGGGTAACGGTGTGTACCATTTGGCATATTTCTTTTGCGTTTGATTTTCGTTGCGCGGAATGGAAATCATTTTTATTATTTCATTTCTCCCCCCCCCCCCCACTAAAACCTTACCGTCGTGTTCGAGTGGCGCCGCGCGCTGCACGTGTACACATTTTTCGTTCCGTCGCACCGCCGACACGAACGAATAACGCACGAACACCGCGCCGCACTGCGAACGTACGATGTTCAGCGCTTGAACGAGTCGTATCGGTACGGAAACACGTTTATGCGTCGATTTGCTACGATCACGTACCGCGATCGGTGCGGGTTAGGTTTAGAAAAATCACCTCTGAAATGGTAAAATTGAAAAACATCCTACGGGCACATCGATTAATCCGAAGGGCGCACACGTGTAGGGGGAAAAAAAATGTCACACTCTGTCATGAGATTACAGGGGGTAAGCGGATAACTCGAGAGCCACTCTAACTTTTGATTAAGTGAATTCCGTCATCATACCAAAGTATATACCTTTCAGAATATGATGTATCACGTGACCCGTATCGTCCATAGCTTTTTGGATTTACCACAACACAAAACAACCGTATGTAGTAATTGAAAATATCGAAGTGACGGAACATCACTGATATGCAATGGGTACGTGGGGGGGGGTCACTTGAAATAATAATATAAAATATTACCGACATGAAATGTATTTTTATGTGTACGATAATAACGACTGTGATAGTATAGTTGTGGCGAGCCCGTGAATACGTTTATTGATTAGAGAGAAATTTAACATTTTAATAATATTGTAGACATCATAAAAATAATGTATCTCAAAATTATAAAGCACTTTTTTTTTTTTTTTACTTGTAATATATATTTTAATATGATGAATATTTGATTTTCAGGCAAATTTCCAGTATTTATTTCAGTACGGAATTCAAAGTTTTGATTGATTTTAACACAAGATTAATTTAGTTTGGAAACAATAACAGTTTCTAATATAGAATTAAATCGATTCATAGATCTAAATTAATTAATAATTTAAATGAACCTTTTTAATGTCCGTAATATACGGTTTCATCAGCAGTTAAATTATTTTATTCATTCTATTGTGTACTTTTAATCGCTCACAATCGTTTTTCGAACTCGCTGGTTAATCATAGGTTACAAATTTAAAAGTCATCTGCCTCAGTATATCACTAAAAAATTCAACTGTATCCGATTGACTTAAAAAGATAATAAATTATTTTTATACTGATTGACACTAAAATTATGATACGCAGGAACGTGAAGATTTGGGAATAATTTTATTAGGGGGAAAAAAATAATGAACATAAAAATCTCAGCGACCCATAAAATCACATTAATCAAACGAATGAAAGCCGCACACTGTCAACTTAAAAGACGTTTGATTATGAATATACACCATCCCTGCCCGTTTCAGGACATATTTCGTTCGATTTTGATTTTATTTCAAACGTCATTCATACACCGACGTGGGATAAATAAATCATAAAATCATTTACACACTGGGCCGAATAAAAAGGGCGTACATTTAAAATGCAAGACATTTGCGATTGTTGACTTGAAATCATTGAAATCTTTTCGTCGTAATATAATACACCCGTGTATGACCGAAATCATGACATTACATCGATCATCGTTCAAAACCAATTCATCTGTTTGATATTCATATTGAAAGTAAACGAACGCGGCTGTGAAATTCTTATCGTGGTCGTGATATAACGATAATTTGATCACCGCTATTGGTTTCTATTGGTTTTCAGTGTGTCGAATTGACGCGCACGCGAATTATTAACTTTGTGTATGTCGCGCACAGTGGTGCGAAAACCGGGGTGGATGGGGCGACGTTTAACATCGGGGGGCCTTACCATAGACGTGAACTCGGAGGATATTTTCAACGCGAAAGAATCGAGTAACGCGTTTAATGATAAGTAAGTACTCGTAGTTGGTAGTCTTTATCGGGAAAAAAATAATTTACCATTACTTAAATAGTTACAGGGCCTCGGACTTACTATCGGAGCCCCAAAATCCTAGTTGCGTCACTGATCACACGCGTCTGAGCGAAGACGCGTGGCAGTCAGGTCCTCATTCGATTGCGAATACCGCACATGGTTCTGAATGTTTTATAAACATTTGCGTCGTTTCGCGTATTATATTTCGTGTACAGCGATCGTACGCGTCCAAGTATAATATCAAGCGAAACAGAACGCTAAGTCAGCAGTGCGGTAGTCGCACTGTTCGAGAGCACACATTTGTCAACGCTTACTTTCTCATCGCAGCCACCGACCGGTAAATCGTTGATCCGACGAACGTTAACCGCAGGACAAAACATGCGGTCCAAGGATCATCGAAACGTGCACCAAGTGTGAGCACCGATTTACAATTTTACGCGTGAATATAAATAATATTAAACGCATAGCCGTATCGAATACGGTTTTAAATTATAGGTCAAAACGTGCGTGTACTCATTTTAAAATTGATCACTGTCATCGTTCCGACTGCTAACTTGTCTTGTCCGAAATCTGGATGTAGTTTCGACACGGTCGAATATGTTCGGCTGCTGCCGGGTCCAGTCGGACTCGGTACGCAAGTCTACAGATATTAAATTTTCTCGAGAAAAAAAAAAGTCTACGGGCCAAAATTCTTTCGCGGGGGGTTAAGCAGTGCTTGATCTGTTTACAGGTTGATCCGGCGCCGGTTGTGCAATCCACACAAATGCGTTTCGGCGGTTAGTGTCGGAGAACGGTGTGTCGGCGAAAGGTTTTCCGCGAACAACTGCTGCACCGGATCTAGAACAGCGCTCCGTGTGCGCATGCAAATCAATCGCGTAAGAAAAACCACCGCGCAACGCGCACCAGACGTACGCAATTGCGTCATCGACTCCGATTCTTACCCGAGTCCGGACGAACGAGGGACGAACGAGGGACGATCGAGACCGGTTGGGGATGAGCTACGTGGAAACGGAATGATCTGTGTTTTCAAGGCATTATTGTTAACATTATTATTATTCGTCTTCGCTTCCGCAACGCTGCAGCCTTTATTCCGGGGACAGATGTCATCGTCTGAATATAAACGCCCTTAACGAGACGCTGACGGTTGACGGGATGGCAGCGGTGGACCCCCGAAGCGTTTATTTTCTATTCCATATATCAAATACTCGGTTCATCTGTCGCCGGCGCGTTTTTTCGACCGTCCGCGCGCACCGCACTTTGCTTCTACAAATTTATTTTACTCCCATCACACACTTCATCAAGGCTCGACCCACACGGGGTCCGGTGTAAAACTTTACATTCCAGATCTGAACTGCTGCAGTGACAATTAACGGTCTTTAATGTAAGACGCCCAGTGCCCCGATGACTTCAAGATTTAAATTACCCCAAATTTACAAAAATTACATTTTATTCGTAGAATATCATAATTTTATAGTTTTTTTTTTTTTTACACTAATATCGAATGCAAAATATTGAATAAAGTTGACTTTTATAAAAATAATGCAATTTTATCAACGAAAAAAAAACTGAGGGTTTCGCCTTCATATGACATGAGTGGATAGGGTTTAAATAAATCTTGACAAATTTTTTACCATAAAGGTGTACTATACGGCGGTTTACAATTTATGTGTTTTTAAGGCCCCCTTGATATATATTAGGGACTCACATCCCTTAAAAACGGTTCCGACGATATCTGTACGAGTAGGTAGGATAAAAATATTTGACCGAAATCGTTCAAATGCAAGCGACGAGGTAAAGGAATGTTACATGTAACACACATACAAACACGTATTGAGTGTATCGATATAATTTTATTACAAGGTTGTAAAATTTGAAGCTTTTCAAAAACGTTACCGATGGACGGTCTTTGAAAAAAGATAAAAATTAATAATACGGAAAAACCGTAATTATACTTTCGATATAATTTATCAGAACAACATTATAAATGACGTCGGACTTTTTAGACGTTGAATTATTATGCGTTTTCGTAAATACAGTTTACATTGGACAATTACATGGCTGCTTCGTCGAAACAATATTGGCTATACCTACGATTAAATTTATTTTCAAACATGTATACTATTTAGTTGACATAATAATAATTGTTGTTGTTGTTGTTATGATATGATTAAAATGCACAATATATAGAAACTTACGCACAAAAAATTCTTGACAAACGGGATGGGTTTCGTGATTTTCATCGTTTTAAAATATAAATATTAAAGTAAAACGTATTACGATAAGATGGTTTGGAAATAAAAACTTCAACTTAAGTACTCGTATTTCAAAAATGTTGCTCCATATCGTATGTACACGAATCTTCTGACTATTGAAAAGGTAAAAACAGTAAAACTAAAAGGCAACTTTTAAATGTATTTATTTACAATTTAATATAATTACACTATTTTATAAAAAAAAAAATAAAAATTCGTTTAGTATTTTAAATATAGGTGTTTAGAATTCGTTTTATTTTGTTCATAGGGAAAATAATGTAATAACAATAGTAAAAGTTTTTTTTGTCCGATTTGCTGCATAATTATTATTCAAATTATTATAAAATATTATACAATATTAATTTTCAAAAATGTATAGGGATCGCATAATACAAGAAAAAAAATATATTTGTCTCAAATAATTGATATTAAAACATGTATTTATTCCTTGGGTGGTGGATTCTTTGCTGGTATTCTAGAGATCTGTTCCATAAGGAAAGGTTTTGCAATTTTTCTACTTCACTACTTACTAAGATGAGTAAAAAAATGGAAGAACAAATAATAAAAAATAAATTGAATAAAAAATATGATATTCTAATAATCATATTTTTTATTTTAATAAAAAAATAAATAAAATGAATTATTTAATATGTAAATTGATTATACGAGGGAGTCCATTGGTATTTTCATACCTATATTACTACCTTAAAAAATTCTGGGAGATCAAACAAAGGTTAAGAACCCTACTCTATGTATATATTATGAAGGGTTAAATCAAACGAGTTAAAATAAGAAAATATTTATCAAAAAGAAATAATCTCTCGCTAGGTATACAAGAACATTTTTGAAATTCACGTTTCTAATGAAATTATCAATTTATAGAATAAATCGAATCACACGATTTTCGAAAGGTATTAAAGACGTTAAGATTTTAATGAATGACTTAGCATACAATTAATAATTGGTTTAAACGTGTTATAGTATATTAAGTTATTAAGTATTAAGTTTCGGTACAGCTGTATCGAATTAAAGTGTTTTTCATGAAATATGTTTTGTTACATAATGATTTAGTATTACAAATCCACACGTTTGAAGGAATTAATAAAAAAAAAAAAGAAATGAATGCATCATTTGCTAATGATATTCGCAGATCATAGAAAAATACTTAACTTATGTGTACGCATATACGACGTAAAAAAACGTTTATAATCATATAATTAAGGAAATGATACAAATGTTCGATTCCTCCGAAATAAATGAATTTCGATTAAAATATTACGTAAATACCGTGAACAGAATTCAATTATCGGATAGTAGTAGACCTCCAAAGCGATAAATCGTTAGCCTAACCTTACGTGGCGTTGATTGATTTCCGCGCGATGGTCGTGTCGTAAAAATCAATTGTCATGAAGTGTATCGACAGTTTTCGCCGGGTCCGCTGTGCAACGAACACATTTTACCTAATAGAATTTGTCGTTCGCACGTATAAATAAACGTATATATTAAACAGTCGGAGGTATTTGTTAATTATTATTATTACTATTAATATTATTACGTTTTTCTTTTCCGTTCCTGCTAACCTCGTTGTCTATTAGGGAAGAACGACGTTCGAATCTCAATGGATTACCAGTGGCGTATTTATGGTGCGGGGCATACGTGGAGGGGGGGGGGGTGCGAACTCGTTGAACTTAAATTTTAATATCCTACGAAAATTTTTCGATTTTAACTTGAAAACTGGAAATTTAAAAATGAAAAATCCTTAAGATTACGATCGAAGCCAGCTAGCGTTCTATCATTATTTTGATTGAAATTACGTTACGACGAAAAATGCATAAACAATGTGCGTTACCACGGAATAATTAGTCAGCGCTTGCCACCCCTTTTCCGATCCCTAGACTGTTCCAAAAGAATCCCGAACACGCCACCGGCAATTGCACAGACTTGTATAAGGTATATACGTACCGTTACCGCGTTTCAGATGTCAGTCGTGTTCGAGAAAACAACGGCACTGCTCCGAACATCGGTGCCGTTGTGTGCACAATAAAAAAGTTAGCGAAGTTTTGCGCGCGAAACGTGTACAAACTTTCGGCCCCGGTAACGTAACGCGCACGTCCGTGCAAGTTTTGACGTGTACAACGTGGAGAGCGTATCGATCTTTGTCGAGCTGGTTTCGCTCTGCGGACGAATGGACGCCGCGCGCTGGCGGCGACAGCGCAACCGCTGGCAAATCGTGCCGCGCCGTAGGGTTGTTGTCAAAGTCACAAATAACGGATCGGATGTTTGAGTGTATACGTGTATGAAGAGAGGGTGTGTGTGTGCGAGAGAGAGAGAGAGGGAGAGAGGTGTTTTACTTTGTCGTTTCGCAAAATATGAATCGATGGACACAAGACGTACAATAATAATAATAATAATAATAATAATATTTATATGGTACATGGTTTTTTTATGTAATAAAAAATAATGACGAGAACGTGTTAGCACAAAAACGTATTTGAAAACGTGCGGAACGCCCGGTGAGTGGTTTCCGGGGGACGACGGTGACGGTTGGCAAAAATTAGGCCAAAGTGGATGCGGGATGACGACGAGCGACGGTGATGGGGGTTGTGGTAAACGGGGGATGCGCAGAGCAAGGTCGTCATCGGCGGCGTCGCGTGGAGTAAAAAAATTCGAAAAATAAACACACACGCACCGAGACAGAGAATGGACAGAATGGACGTCGGTTACGGAAGATCGGTCGCCATGAGAAATATTGCGCGAGAACAAACGATCACTGACGGACGTACAAAATAAAGGATGTGAAAACCGTATATGGCAAGGTATGGGATTGTTCATGGGCCAGGAGCAAGTGTTTTTCGTCATATTTATACGTATGCGAAATATTCTTATCTAACGCTCTCGAACAAGGCTATGGGAGGGTTTAGCTTCTCCTCCAAAATTTTTTCATAAAATAAAATTGAATGATTTCGAATTCCTATTGTTTTTGAAATTTTAAAATTTTTTCAAAAGAACATATTCATACTCTACGTCCTTTTTTAAATATCTTTTGCTGACTATGCGTCCTTGCGTCCGAATATCAGTTGTTGTTCACGTTCTGTTGTATAAAGTTTATTATTCACGCACAAGGAGAGTGAAATTTAACTAATTGACAGTATGTGAAAGAGGAAAATGTATGTTGTAAACAAGTTACCGCAAAGTAATCATATAATACAATAAACAGAAGTTCAAGACAATTACTTTTCGTTTTAAAACTGTACAAGTGCTTGGGAAAAACAAGGTCAAGATGTGCGGTGGATTGGGAGATGGTTTGAGGATGGTGGTGGTGATCGGTAAACCGCATCTCTCGTCCTCATCACGACGACGCTTACGGTACACGCGTACGGATAGTCAAGAAGAATTTATCAGTGATGAGGCCGTGCGTTCGATATGTCATCATCCTCCTCCTCCTCCTCCGACGCGATCGTGGGGGTAAGCGTCTCTAGCCGAGACCAGATACCCTGTCAAAAGCTTGCCCCGACCCTTGTTCCTTATCCTTATCCCTTATCCCGCTCTGCTGGCGACGCGCCGGTTCGCTGAAGAGTTTTTTGTTTTTTATTATTAGGTTTTTTTTATTGGGTTTTTTTTTTTTTTGGTTTTTTCGTCGTTTGGGTACAACGACGTAATGGTCCCACGACGGTAGCGTTGGCGGAACGCGCGGACACACAGGTAGTTGGACGTCGACGACGTGAAATCATTCGGGCGACGAGCACGGTGGCGTTTCCCGATGATGGTAATAGTGGTTGTAGCGGCGGTAGTCGTTGGGCAGGTACTCGTGACTGTTGTACAAGCGGCCCATGTTGAAGCCCGACATGTCGTGCAGGTTGGGATGCGACGAGTGGTAGTCGTAGTGCAGATCTCGGTGCGCCGGGAAACGATTCATCGACCGTGTCTGTAAAATCGAATCATCGGTTATTGCGTTAATCGTTGACACTTTACAAGGGACAGAAAGGAATGGGGTTGACGGGGTAGCTGTTGGGAGCATATGAAACGATTCAAATGTTAATGAACGTATTTTTTCAAGAAAACACAACGAAAACTGTTTTTATCTTTTCTGAAACATTAAGATCGGTAAAAACGGAGGAGACGCTAAAATTTTTAGAAATCAAACAGTTCGTTTTGTATAGGTTGTAAGATTTTTCTTTGGTGTTTCGAGAATTGAAATTTTTTTTTTTTTTAAATTTCAATGCGTGTGGTATGATCCTATACAATTGGAAACACCTTACTTTCATTTTCTATTTATGTTTTTAGACACTAGGTTTATGCACCCGTTTTGCGTGAGAACTCGCGCAACACCGATGCACTAGAAATTTCGTGATAATATCGCGGTTACCAAAACCATGTTTTGGTAACATTGCGATTCATGATAATCAACCATCCGTTACGATATAATACTGTTACGCGGGCGGTAAGCTTTAACGATGAACACCTGATTGTGTACATGAATACATACACGTACACCATACATACGACATATAACATTCATCTCATCCACCACATTACACAGGTTTTAAGATTTATTTTTATATATACATTATTGTTATTATATTTACAAGCATAATACACAGTTCATACATCGTTACATCATCCGATGTTGGTTATTTTAATCGTAATTCATTAAAATAAGGCTTACGTTTTCAAAATATTTCAGTGAAACTAATGGTTAAAATAAAATATGTAAAAAGATTTGAAAACCTAACGGATAAGGAACAAAATAAACTTCGTTTGGACCGTAGGGTGAAAGGGTCTATCTACCTGCAAGCTTACGTGTGCTTTTTTACGGAGGAATTTAAGCATGTTGTCCGATGACCGTGTAAAAGCTCGTTCGCAGAGCCCCTCCGAGATGTAGCGTTACGGTCAAATTTTTTGAAAATATCTTTAATTCTTCGGTCCGTCCCTTATAATTTATTATCAACGTATCGAAAATATGCGAATCGATGCTACCTCCGATGAAATCGAGTTTTATCGTACTGCACAGAGTTTCATAAAAGTTCGAGTAAAGTGCATAAACAATTTCTAAAAAATTATTATTCTCCATTGTATGTTCCATCGATTTTCATGTGGTCCATTTTAGGGTTGGGTTTAATATATGTGAATTCCACTGGTACGTTATTTTTTACAGGAAAATAAAAGAATACATGTAAATTCTACCAAAGGTAGTTAACTCCACCGATTACAATTATTTTTAACTGTTATTGTTTTTAATTGTTTAACGAATTTAGACTGTTTTATCGAGATATTAACGATGTATGTGTACTTGAAATTTACTTACCGAAGGGCCATTAAGTTTTTAATGTAGTGACGAAACATTAGTGCTCACGAATCTCTTTTTATTTTCTCGAGAAAAATCATACACATCCAAACGTAAATCTTATTCGAAAACTCTTACAGCATTTTCAAATTTTTATCTACCCAAAGTTAATTAAACGGTAGGCGAATATATAGACGAATGAAAAAGTTCAATATTACAACAGCACAATTCTTTGTATAATGAGAATAATGATAATGATAATGATAATAGTCAGAGCGGTATCCAAATTGCCGTGATAAGTTAAAAAGTCACCGACGTCATTCAGTTTTTTTTTTTCAGACGACATAACAAATATTGGTATATATATATATATATATATATATATATATATATATATATACATACATATATATTTTGCTACGTATGCTAAATCCCTATGCGTAATTATGAAATATATTTCAATGGAATTTATTTCCGATTTAATTGTTGGAAATTCTCAGTTAAAAAATATTCCCTAGTCGAATTTATAAGAAAAAAGTTCAACAAATGTCAAAATCAGTGACATTTACATGCGTCTATACTAGAAACTAACTATCATAAAAAAACCAATATAATACATAAATAAATATACCTATATCAACGAATAATCGTATAGAATAAACTCGTGTTATCGCATGGATATCAATTAGAGCTTCTTATTTCACGTTTATACGCTTTCACGTATCCCCGTGAAATTAACATACGAGAATATAAAAAAGTGCACTTGAAAACTCTGTATACACGTGTAATTATTCACGTGCACAAGTATATACACGTATTTTAGTCTTAATATTTTCTTTAAATTCGTAATATTTGTAAATCAACAAGTTAATACTCGTGTTTATATATTTTTTGTTAATAACGATGTTATTTTTGAGGTTAATAAGTTGTATTCGCACTGCAGTACAACGTCATAAGTAATACTTAAAACAAATATTCGTGAATACGTGAACACGTATACGAAACGTGTAATAAATATACGTGAATACAAATATATCATTCACACGTTCATGGGTTACGCGTAGGTTAGACATCAATTCATGTTTCCAATAGAGACCTCTGGTAGTACCAATTTTCTCCATTGAATCATCATTATCGAGTTCAGTTAGTTGATTTAAACTTTTCTGCGTACTGTTGTGTATACTTAGGCGTGCAATATCACTTACTGCATTTAAGGATAGTAATCGAAGTGCAACGAATCGCGCACGGATTTTTACACGTAATCCAGTTGCGATCATACGAACGAGTTGAACGAGCGATGGTGAAACGTACAAACGGTAATGGACTGCATTCCATATGGAGTTATTTTTTTCGGATTACACTTAAGGAGCGTACAGGGATCTAAGCGTTTCGTGAACTTTGCGTGATATTTGATTAATTATAGACACATATGGAGAGAACTCCATATGATTAAAAAATCATATAAGTAGATGGTTAGAATATGAATTCGCGGATCTCGAAATCTGGGTCTTCCGATTTACAGGTGAGGCTATTGCTATCGACATATATACATTTCGATATTTATGCGGTCTTTCGACATTCGGAGCGATTTTGTTCATGTGCAGTACTGGAAATAAATCAACTATATCGTTATGCAATATTTCCTTGCTGCTTTTAAGAACGGTTTCGTATTGTTTTACTAATCAAAATGTTAATGACGGTATTTATTGATTATAATATGAGTTTTTTCGCGTATAATACCTGTAATATATGCATACCAGTAAATCGGCCATCTGTATCTTCATTACGTCCATATGCTAAAATAGTGTTGAACGTTTCAATTCAATATCAATCGATAGTTGAAAATTAAAATACGATTGATATTGTGAACGATGATGAAACGAAAACCATCAAGCCAAAAGAAAGAAAACGCATAGCGAATTCACTTTTTAAACGTAGGCATAACGCGTGTACGATAAAAATGAAAAATAAAAATAAAAGTTATTTTTTCACCGACTTTTTTAACCGTAACCGTAAAAGATATTTGCGTTATTTATGCGATATTCGTTATTTATTTAAAATATTTTATACGAATTTTCGATGACATCATTCGTGTATGAACAACTGTTGTAGCATTACTAAACAGCAACGTTACGCTGGTGATTTTCATGCGAAATAATGTTGATTTCTGCAGGATCGACAGAAAAAAAAAAGAAACGTGTTTTTTTTTTTTTTTTTACAAAATCAACATTATGCGAAATCGTGTAAAATGGTGAAAAAATAAATCGTGCGGAATCGGGTGTTACATACCTGATGTAACCCTAGGGCCGCGACACTGCGGTCGTACTATGCGTGGTTATCGTTTTGCGGTGTTTACCGCGGATTATTTGCCGTCACGGATTTTCCGTGACATCAAAAAACGAATCCGTTCGTAAGATCTATATATATATATATATATATATATATATATCAGTACTAAACATGAGTTACATATATATTTATCTTACCGATCAGCGTACAGACAAAACTATTACAGCGATTCATTTGAATTGTTGATTATTCGAAAGTTGCGTTTTTAAGGGTCGAAACAGTTTTTGACTATGGGCCGATTGTTAAAATTTTTTTAAACTTTCTAGTAAGTAATATTTGGTTTTAACGTGTTGATTTTTATAATAACTGATTATTTTGGTATATTACGTATATTAATATGGAATAAGTAAATGAAAATAAATATAATTGCTACCAACGTACGGATTTGTTTTTTATTTCAACAAAGTTGTGATAAAATTGCTCTAATCCATAATAGTCTGCTTTCCTAAAATGTGCGCATGTGCTCGAGTATATGTTTTTATTTTTGACGAAACGGTAAAAGTATGTTAAGTTTCATAATTTAAATTCCAACAGACCGTACACGCGGGTGCATGGCAGTAATTCATATGGTACATGTATGCATAGCTACCCGACGCGATTAAAAACATCACTTAACACAACGGCTGTTCTCTGGGGTTCAACAACGTTGTTCAAAGGTTTTACAGTTACAGCGGTGCCCATTATTACGTGATCCTTTTATAAATTTATTTTTACCAGTTAAACATTTAATTTTGCTCTTAATTATGTTTTAAAACAAAAAAAAAAAAAATATACCATTTTTATTTGACCTATATGTGGTCCGAACTAACGAATAGTGAAAATAAAAATTATTTGAAATCTATGTTTAATCCGATCAAATACCATGACAATGGATGCACGCATGACGGAAAAGAACGTAAACGATCGCGGTGGCAAGCGATGTTCAAGCGATTGATATCCAGGTCCTTGTAGAAGACCGCCGTTTTACAGGGTACACGAGTACCGACACACACGCACGTCTCCTGTCACCGTACCAGGGTAAATTGTCTCGAAACATCCCGAACCGAAGTCTATTTTTGCGCACACTCGACGATAACGGGTGATTGGCTCGTTGTCGAGTTGCGGCGTATGCAGGTCAACGTACGTCGACGGTGTGCCAACCGTGCGGTCTAGATTCGTCAGCGAACAAAATTCAAGAAATGATATTGATGGCAACGGGGTCCGGGTTCGAATCCTCCGGTGTTGGTGAGTTGCGACCCGGGTTCATCCCGAGCGATTCAGTTATCCCTGAGACGTTATTATACGTTCAACGT